TCAAAACAGGGACTCTGGCCATGTGACATGAAATGTCAACCTCTAAAAGTCAAATAATGTCGCTGGTTGCATATTAAAGACAAATTTCGAAGTTTTGTTGGGGAAAAATGTTTCCATTCATGACTTACGTCTAGGCTAACGCTTTTTTTTCCTACAATAATTATACAGTATCACCATGTACAGGCACAGCCTTGAAACGTTTCTGAAACCAGCAGTGCTTGAATGATGTGGTATCTCGCTCCCTCTGGTATGGGCATTACCTAGAACTTTAATCCCTTCTTATTCTGTGTCTGGTTCCTAGCTCTGTCTGAGTAGTAGTTTCCTGTATTTGTTGAAGACAAATCAAACCTTGTACCACTGTGCCCTTGGCCATCTTCTTTGCTAGCTTTTGCATTCAGCAGCAGAAGTACAGCTGTGTGCGTGGTTTCCATCTCACCCATGAATATTCTAGGGCTGAAATCTTCGGTTTTGTGGAAAAAGAGAGTGAACTTTTGCCCTTTATCCTGTGAGAATATTTGACACGTCTAAAATAGCAGTCATGCTTGAGAGTTAACTGAATTCACCCATCTGCCTTGTTGCTCTTATCTGAATGAAATGTTTCTCAGCAGTTTATTTATTTACCAATAAATATTTGGTAGTGCTGTGCTTTGGTAGTGCACTTCCTGTATTCAAATGAAAACAGCAGGAGACACACAAAAAGGAGGGGAAATTATTTGTCCTTCTATTATGAAAATAATCTCTGAAGTGGCTTGTTATTTGTGGGGAGGGTTGGGAGGCTAGACCTCTGGAAATCAAGGTGTGATTTGAACTCTACAATATGAAAGCATTTCAGAAACAGAATTACATACGTAACAAGGAAAGACATTAGGTCAGTTGATGTCATAGACGACGACTGTCTTGAATCTAAGTATTATTGTCTTTCAATTTGAGGGCATTTCATAGTTTCTCTGTAGGTTACATCATACAAGAGATAATAAAATAACTGAAGCTTATGTGAATTGGTACCACAACAACTGTAACTTAAAATCACTACAAAAAGACTGTTTTCAGTCTGTGAAAGTCTAATACTCTGTGCAGCACTGCTTGCTGATGGTAATAAGGGCTGAGAAGTTGTGAAAAACTTTTAATGTTTAGTATGTTCTTCTCTACTGAAAGGGGAAATATATGACAACTGTGTAAAACTCTGTATACAGAGTTCAAAGAAAGTCTTAGATGGATTCAAGTAGTGTACACTCAACTCTTCAAAATGTCGTGACTCAGTGGGATTTCTTGTCATTAGACTGTTATGTCCTCAAGAGGCATCTCTGCACATCTGGCAATAGCACAGCAGTATTCAGAAAGCAACAGAAATTTTAAATTTATCTCTCTAATTTTCTCACTTGACTTTTAATATGTTTTCCCCTCACCCATTTAATTCTTTTCTCTGTAATAATTTGGACAAAATTATAAGTTAACATGGGTTTACTTGTAACTCTGTCTCTTTTTGGCTTGCATCAAAATAATTTTCTTAATAATGCCACAACATGGAGCACTTGTACAAATTACCCTGAGAGATATGTGTTGAAATTGTTATGAGACTCTTTTGCATTATTTACATCATGACGTTCTGTCAGTATACTAATACTCAAGACTATATTTCTGTATTTAACAAATATGTAAATCAGGTACACGTTTCCCTAGGAATGCAAATGTCTCTAATGAGGAAAGACAACAAACTTCAAAACAAACAAAAGAATAGAATATGGTAAATAGCTCATGTGAAAGTGGGGAAAGAAATGTTGCTCGAGTGGACTGGAGATAACGGGCTCTAATCCTTGCCCTGGGATTGTTTAATCAGCTCATCTTGAAGCTCTGACAGATCAATTGTTTCTCAGCAGGGAGAGAGCTGGGGACGAATGGCAGCCAGGCAGTTTTCCCATAAGAAGGCACGAAAACTTCTGGGTTTTCTCTATGTGGCAATCTAGAGAGCTGAGAGGATTGAGTTCCTCTGGCTGAATTTGTTAACGCTGGTAGAATACCACTCCCGAAGGGCCCCAGCTCTCTGAAATACTTTTTTTATATTGTAATAATTAAAATAGCTGTTTGATTTTGATGTATAAGCACAGAATGGGAATAGCATCACGGTGAATTGAATTTAAGTATTACAGAAAAATTTGTATGTCCTTCAGAGAAGCATTCAACTCGGATTTCATGTCAAAACATTCCTCTGATTTAGTAAGGATAAGTGATATCTTTGAATCATAATGCTCTAGATTGAGTATATGTATAGTGGGAATGTTCTTTATTGTGCTGTGTTTGTGCTATGCTTTTTATTATGCATTGCTCACTGAAAACTTTATCTTCCATTAAAGGCTGAATTCTATTCAGAAGTGCAATTAAACAAAATTTGCTCACTAAAATAAGACATCATTTATTTCAAGCTGGCTTCTATTTTGAATTTTGATGGCTTCCTGCTAAATATGCAAGCTTTCTTTTCTGTGAAATTAGTTCAGTATCTAAAAATCTGAATTACTTGGCATTTTGTTTTTCATCATGTAAGTTCAGCCCCCAAAGTACTGGTAAGCATTATATTTCTCAATTAACTGCCATCTTTAAGAAGATCATTATGGTAAAATTAGCCCGAGTTCTCAAAAGTCCATGAATTCCAAATAGTGTATGCGTAATAAGTGGGGTAAAATGTTTTAATCAATGTTCCTCAGTAATCCTTTAACTGCATATTGTATGTAACTATTGCCTTTTCTGTCTCTTTTCAGTCTTTTAACTAAAAAATGTGCTTTGTGTCTGTTACAGTAAGAAATTCAGTTTGATTCTGTACTGTGACAACACCACGTTCATGAAGCCTCTGTCCCATTTGTCTCTGTCGTTATATATCTGGTCTTGCTTTAACCCATCCTCATTTGTTTGTACTGGCAACTTTGATAGGTAAGGATCATTAGGAGTGTATCAAAACCACTTTCAAAAATGATAGCTCGATTTTCCCATGTGCTACTTAATCTGTCATGCAGATATAGATATTAGTCTGCTGGAGAACAAGCTCTCAAAGCAAAATTATTTCCTAATAAAATTTGTCCCAAAGTTATGCCAAATCTCCGCATCCAAATGCTTACAAAAAGTCTAAGAGAGACTTATCAGTAATATGTGCATACGGTCATGCTTTGAAGATTAGAACACATGGAGGGCCACTTTGGTAACTTTGACTTCTGTTAACCTAGCTTTTGTTGTAAAGGAGAAAAGGTTTGCAACAAAATCGCCTGACACAAAATTTGTTTCTCATTTCTTTCCCAGTATTACACTTCCAACAGCTTTCTACCTTTCCTCCAAGTTAACACCACGTAGGAGGTGTTAGCTTTGTACTGCTTGAATTCTGAAACCTTGCCTCTGGGGGAGTGAGGAGGCCGTAATTACTATGAACTTCTGCTGAAAGAAAACTTGATATTCACAAAATACTCCAGAGAGGCTGGACTAGGACTTTATTAAATCGATACCTCTAATTGATACTTTGGCCAGGTCTCCAATGGAGCATGAGTTCAGTAACTTTCTTAAAACATATTGTTCACTAGATACACATTAAATTGACTTTTAATTAGCGTACAATTGCTGTCAGTTACAATGCTACCCAGAAATCTGAATCGTCAGGTGCCCTTAACTCTTGTTGATTTGGATGACTGTTTTAAGTACCACCAGAAATTATATGAATAGTGTATAAAAGCAATCTTCAAATGTAGTCATAGCACAGAGTAGTAGTTACAGGATTCAGACCCTCCACATGAGTATGTATGCTTTAATCTAATTTTGTACAAAAATGCAAGAAAAAAGAATGCATGACAAAATAGCAGATAAATGCATTAATAGTTTATGGTAGTAAACTTGTCTAGGGAGGAGAGAGCTTATTACTAGCTTTCCTTGGGATTTGGAAATTTTAAAAGAGAACTTTCATGTCAGGAGTTTTTTAATTGTTATATTAAGAACACCCCCCACCTGCCATGTTCTCTTCCTGTGTTCAAACTGCTTGTTGTGAATATAAAGTAAATCAAAGGTAAACAAAATGGAAGATGTTGAATGAAGTATTCAGTAAAGAAAAAAACCGAAAACTTTAATAAACAGCCTGTCTTTTTGTACTGTTTGAAAAATTCATCTTGACACTGTATTTTTGTTAATCATAATTTGAAATCATAATTTTATTAACCAAGACTTTTTACCAGACAGATGGTGTCCTTTGTGCCAGAAGTCAAATATGAAGACACACCGTGAGGTACTACATTGTAGAACTGTTACAATAAGACATGGATTTTAAAACTACAGGAGTGAACAGAAGAGAGGAGCATCTTCTTTGTTCCTGTTGGTGATTATTTCAATATATTTATTCTCTATAGCATCATCTATTTGCTTTTATTTTAAAATAATTTTGTCTTACTGACAATTTAATGATTTTTTTTTTTTTGAGGCTCCGTAGGCAATTATAGTTCCTAGCTGTCTGCTCTGTTCTCCTTCTCAAGTACAGTGAGAATGAGGTTTTTTTCCTTCCTGAGTTTATGTTGTTCTCTTTTTAAAACTAATCCTTACCACATCGATTTTACTGGCTTTTCAGATTTTGAAAGTTTTCTGAGAGTGGAGAGAAGAAAGGCTATATGAGAACAAGGAGTGCATGTTAGTTTTATTTCCTTATGAAATAATAATGATTTCTTTTTCTAGATACTTTCTGCCAAAAGGATTTGAACAGTTTTTTAGCAGTGGTAAATGTAAACTCTTTGTGGATTTTATTTATGCAGGTTTAAAAAAAAAGACATTGCAATATAAAAGTAACTGAATAAAAACATGCATGTGAAGTTGCAGCATGAGGGTTACCTGGAAAGTTAATGAACAGTAATCAGTATTGGAGAGCTGAGAGACTGAACTAAAATCTTCTATTTTTAATTTGATGGTTAATAGCTTGCTTTTGCAGTTCTTTGAATTTTTGTAATGTTCTGTTTATCTTTCTCCCTTTACTCAGAACGGATTCTGTTCCATCTCGGTGTTTTCTGTCATTGTGAACTATAAATATATCACTTTCCTGACAGTCTTGAAAGTGAAAGGAATTCTGAAAATCCTTCATTCTCAGAGATCAAAAGCTACTGTAGACCCTGGTAAGTCAGCTTCACTAGAGCTATCTGAAGTCCTATCAGTTGACAATCTGCCTACCAAATCTCTTGCTTGCCTGAAGTGTCTCTGAGCCAGTGCTTTACATGTGATCAGTATTCTTACTTTTCATCTAGGCATTACCTCTGCTTCTTTACCTTTGATTCACTTCCCTGACCAGTTCTACTTAAGAAGTAGTGGATGTTTTCTGGTCCTACTGATCCCAAGTGGTTTGAAATTCACTCAGTTTGTTTGGTTTTTTTTTTTTTTTTTTTTTTAAGGAGTCATTCCTCCATGTTTAGATAGAAGTGAGTGGGAAGAAGACAGTACTGCTTAAGCAGGGCCAAAGCTGAATATGTTTCCTTCTGAGCTCAGTTAACTTGTGATCTTTAACTTCAGCTGGAGCTTCAACTACTACAATAACTGTAAAAAAAAACCACACACCCTCCCCATAGAAGAGAGTGACACAAAGTTACATAAAAAAGGCAAAATAACACTGTTCTGCAGTAAGCAAGTGGAAGAGGAGGAGAAGCCATGCATAGAACTTTTTCCTTTGTGCCTTGTCTTGTTGCTTTTAGTCTTATCTCTGAAGAGTAAGAATTGTTTAAAATACTTTGAAGCTCCTCCTATTGTAATCACTACATTCCACTGCATTCACATTGTCCCAGTTTGTCTCAGGCTTCACTTAAGTCCATCTTTGTTTCTGCATGTTGGGTCCCTGCGCGCGAGTCACATGTTGGTGGTTTGCAATTCATATTAAAACCATCAGGACAGACAAAATACAGAAAATGCAGAAGGAATTAAGGGGAAGCTCATGTGAAATGGACTTCCTACACAATAAAGCATTTCCCCTGACCCTGGTGAATGCAAAACCTGATATAATTAAATTTTTATTTTTACATTAAGTAGCAGTTTTCAGCAGTACGTACCAAAATTATACAGAACTACAGTTGGCAGAATGATGGTTTTCCAAGCAGTGTACAAAAAGCCTAACTCATTTTTGAGTGCAGCCTTCATAAAATCTGAGCTGTATGGATTTCAGGGTAGTTCTCTATTCATTACACGGGATTTCAGAAGTTCTATGTGACCCTGAAATGTAGTTCTCTTTCAGAAAATGTGGCTTTAGGTTGGTATGTTTGTTAAGTTTGAAAACTGAATTGTAAATCTTCCCAATGTTGAGATGTTCCCAATTTGAATGCCCCTTTTTATTTTAAATGGTCTCTTAGGTTTCTTTCTGCTATGTTTTAAATGTAGATGAGGAACTCATCCAAATGGCCTTTTATTGCTGGATTATATCTAATACAAATTCGTATGTGGATTCAGCCAGGAGACACAGTACTGGGTTGTACTGCTGTATCTGCCTGCCAGCATTGTTCCTGGTAATGACTGTGGTACAGGGAAAAAGTGCTGTCCACAGCTTGAGCTTGATTGTACCCTCTGTCATAGAGAAAGTCAAGGGAAATAAAGCTTTCATTTGTGAAGCAAACAAAACAACCCTGTGTGTTCATTTCAGCTGTTCCAGTAAGAGCAAAATAATCTCAGAAAATCAAAGAGGAATCAGACGAGGCTTCCTACTGCTCCCCTTCTTTATGCCTATCAGTCAATTTGTGTGAGCAACAAAAATACTGTATAAAGAGTGTCCTCTGAAAAAATACTTATGACATGCTTATCCAGTTTATTTCTTTGCTTTACTTTCTTTTATTTCATTTTGTTATTGAAAGAAAAGGTTGACATACTCCTTTGTGTTTATGTCTTTAGGAATATTCAGGGTAGTCCCACTGATTAAGATTTTCATATTCATACAGAATGTAATCAGCATGAAATTGCAAAAAGAAAGCCATCCTTCTGTTTTGCCAATGAAAATGCAGAATAAACAACTCAAAATGTATGTCTTCTATCTATCTTAAATACATGATGGGTTAATCATTCATGAAGTAATCGTTATCTTACAAGTATGACTTACAGCTCAAGAGAAATGAAAAATAAAATAAATAGCATGCTGTTATTTTTCTTTATTATTGGAAGACATTCCACAGTGTCAGTGCATGCAGGGAATGTTGGACAAATGTTTAAAGAGATTAAGCTACTGTTTGGGAAGGATTTTGAGAGAAAACTGGCAACACTGTTATACAGTGTGCTACTTCACATTTTAGAAGGTTATAAAAACTTACAGAATAGGTAACAAGACTGAGTAAACAAATACTTTGATACCATCTGAACTACTAGGGTGTTTGCCTAAGAGAGACATAAGCTTTTATTTTTTAATAGAAGTAAACTTTCTTTCAAGTACCACTTTTTGTGATATAGCAACTGCAGATCATAGAAAAATACAGCTGAAGTAAGCTCTTCAGAAGTCATCCAGTTTATTCCCCACCCATAAGAAAGTATCAACTAAACCATTTAGGATTAGTATTTGCTCTGTTTTCTAAATATTTTTGATCAGTGCTTCAGTACTTTTAATACCTCTTTTTGCACTTAGGTTTTCCTAAGACATTACATACATGGGCTTTTGGTTTAGTGTCGTAAGTGCTTGGCTCTGCTCTGCATTTTCTAACGGGCTAACGGGCTAATGTCACCATCCCTGCCTTCCCCCTGCCCAACTTCTCTGCTTCCAATAAGGTTTTGATACTTTAGATTCCTTTCTAGCTTCCTTTGTTTTTCCCTCTTGTGTGTTCTAGTTTGTGTTACTCTTTCATATTAAGCTAGATCAAATCACTACAAGGTTTTGGTTTGGTTTTCTCAGGAGAAGACTTCTGTTATTAGAGGGAACGCCTACTGAACCTCGGACAACTTCACCAATGATAGATGAGGCAACACTGCAGTGGTGGAGGACATAAAAAGGGAAATTCATGAGACCCTCAGGGAGCATTACATAGGAAGTTACATATCTAGTAAGTGTCTGACTTTTTTAGACTCTATCTTAAAGGGTACTTAGGGAGAAGAAGAGATGACAGGTAGAAACGTCTGATATTTTTATGCCTAAAAATCTTTTGCAACAAACAAATGACCATTTTCAGCTACACGTATGTCTTGGTTTGGGCTGAAATAGAGTTAATACTCCTTTTCAGGGACTAGATGAGTGGTGTGTTTTGGATTTAGCTTTGGGTTTGGTATGGGAAAAATGCTGATAGCACCCTGGTGTTTTCAGCTGCTACCGAGACTTCAAGGACTCTCCGACTCCCCATGTCCTGCCCGTGCGCCAGGGCACAGGGAGGGAGCATGGACAGAGCACCAGACCCAAATTGGCCAGTGAAATATTCCATATCATGGCACGTCATGCTCACTATATAGAGCAGGGGTGGTTGGGAAGGAGCTCTCTCTCTCTCTCTCTCTCTCTCTCTCTCTCTCTCTCTCTCTCGCTTCTGGGATTGTGACTGTGGGATCTTGGTATCTCGGGGTCGCTGGCCGGGAACGGGCTGGGGATTGGTCAGTGGGCGGTGAGCAATTACGCTGTACATTGCCTGTTTATATATTTATTTTTGTTTTCCCCCCATCATCGTTATTGTTCTCATTTTATTGCCATTATTAAACTGTTCTTATCTCAGCCTGCGAGTCTCCCTTCACCCCTCTGATCCCCTCCCCCATTCCCAGGTGGGGAGGGGGAAGGGAGGGTGACCAGCTGCCGTGGTTGGTTGCTGATCAGGCCCAAACCACAACAACGTAGCATCTGTTTTTGAAAAGAACCAGTCACTAAAAAAGAAGTTTGTTTAAAATGAGTCTTCTTTGGTCTTAGAAGGAAATGGGAATGGACAAGGCGATTATTCTTTTAGTGTTTCCCCCTTTTCCCCCCCACATTCTAATCTATTTAGAAACAAGTGTACTTTGTGGTGCTTAATAATGACCGAGAAGTTCTCTTAAGAAAATCATGTCTCTCTGCCCATCATTTGTGATCTGTATGAGGAGGTATGTGATGGACAAAATGGCAAGTCTAACAAAGTGACGGAAGCATAGTGGGAATAGGAGCAGAAGGTAAGGGTAGTTCTGTGGGAACGGGACTTATTAATGTTGGGTTTCAAAGCCAATGTAATGTTGTACTGAAATGGAGCTATGAGAGTGTCTGAAAAATATCAGTATATTAATGTGATAAAAAAAAAAAAAAAAAGAACAGAGCAATTCTACTTAAAGGCTACTTTAAACACTTGTCTCTAAAAGTAATGCGTCTGCCAATCTTGACATTAAAATTGGGTGTTTTCTGTTTTATAGGTTTTATATTATTGGTAGCAATTATATTGTAATGACTTCTATCCATTAGTACTACGGGGGAGTTAAATCAACCGGAGTGTGCACTGGTAACAGCCATGGAGTCCTAGGTCACTGCCAGTTTGTTACAGTATTAAAGAATATCATGGTGAGTGCATTTTTATGTCAGAAAGAGTTGCAGAGTTAAGTAGGATAACATTACTGTGTCAGGATAGTGGGAAAATAAATGCATAACAGCTGTTATTAGACACCGTAAGTACAAAATAAATCTGTTCCCAAGAACACCATTGTGAATGAAAAAGGAGAGAAAGAGAATAATCCTTTGCTAGTAGCTTTTAGCATAGTGGACTAAGCTTCTTTCTGCTTGCTTTCTGATGTTTTTTCACAATTTCTTCAGATAGATTAGGGACTCTTACACAGAGATTGTTACCTTGGCAGAAAATTCAATCCAATCTCTATTACATTTGTTTTTAGTCAAGATTCAGTAAACTGCAGGAAAATTAGTCCTTATGGCAGATTTACACATTATTTGAGTTTGATAAAAATGTTGGTTTTGCCAAATCTTCTGGGACCTTCACGAAATTGCAGGAAAAAAAGTTACTTACACACTTCTGTTCTTCTATTTGTAATTTCTGCTACTCTTTAATTGATGTCTGTGTGTTTCAAATTTTAAGTACTGCACTGTTGTGCCTGATCCATTGCCTTCTCTGGTTTCTAGCAACTGGTATGCATGAACTTGAAGTAAACATTTTAAGTAATTAAAGCTCTGTAAAGGTCAGTGAGTTACATGTGAAAAATCTCTCATCTGAATTACAGATAACATGTGAAGTATCCAAAATAAGTCAGTTCATGTAACACATAGAATCATAGGTGGTTTGGGTTGGAAGGGACCTTAAAGCCCCCCCAGTCCCAACCCCCCTGCCCCGGGCAGGGCCCCCTTCCCCCAGCCCAGGGTGCTCCCAGCCCCGTCCAACCTGGCCTTGAACCCTTCCAGGGAGGGGGCAGCCACAGCTGCTCTGGGCACCCTGGGCCAGCGCCTCACCCCCCGCACAGGGAACAATTTCTGCCTTACATCTCATCTAAATCCGCCCTCTTTCAGATTAAAACCATTACCCCTTGTCCTATCACTACATGCCCTTGTAAAAAGTCCTTCTCTGATCAAATCATAGAATGGTTTGGGTTGGAAGGGACGTTAAAGAATACCATTGGGTTCCCAATTCCCATGGGAATATGTCAGCAGACAATCTATGTTACTAAGTTAACCAAACACAAATTTGTCTTACAATTTTTCTGTTTGTTGAAATGGGACGTGAATATTTTGTTTCCTAATCTGCACAATTCCCCTGGAGCTCATGTTGCAGCGTGTCAGTGCAATGACAGCTTTCCCTGAATGACAACTCATAGCTATAGTGAAAAATGACAGGGTTTGTAAACCAGCGTTGTTTAAAGACTCAGTTCTTGAGTGACTATTTCTGTTAATCATTACTGCATTTTACAATCCATCTTAAATACACTTATTTTAAAATGGATCTCACTGGCATGCTTAAATGGACTTGTAATGGCACATAACACAGGACTGTACTAGCTGTACTAGCACCTACTAACACGTCGGCAATGAGAACATTCTACACGTTATACAACGCGGACTAGTAAAAACAAGGCAGCAGTAATGGGTCTCAGAGTTTGTAAATGTTCACCTTTAGGGGCAGGCGTTCTTATCGTGCCTTTTGTTGTCACTTGGGCAGTCAGTGTCACTAGCCTTTTTTCTAATGGAGGCCTTATTTTTCATGTAGCATAAGCTACCACTTGTCTCCCTGAATGCGCATTTCTGTGGAACTCTTTTGCTTATGATATTTTATTCTATTTATCCTTAAACTTCTTTGATGGCATCTTGCTTAACAGTAAAGGAGAAATTAATATGTTACACTTGTAAGCATAGGAAAGGAGTCTTGGACTGAAAGCTGACTGGGAAGCTCTCACATAATTTTCATGCTCATGAATGTAGCTAGAACTCTGAATATAAACCACTATAAGGTTTGCTGTGTATTTTCGATACAAGTTTTGGAACTTGAACTCATATCTGTTCCATACATTGGCTGTATTTAGTTTCAGCTCTTGGAACAAGGGGTTGACCGGCATGAGCCTCTGCTTGTACTTGCAGACTAGGGGAATTGCTGCAAAATATATATCTGGTTCCAATAATAATGTGATCCCCCAAAAACAAGGACAATAATTCCCAACATATAAGTGCTTTTAAGCACTTTCAAAATGTTCAGAAAGTTTTAAGGTATAGCAAGGCAGAAGTCTTAACATAAGTATGCTGCAGACATTAAAAAGACTAATGCTGTTGTTGTGCTGATTTCATTTTCCTTTTGTTGTATATATATATATATAGTACATAAAAAAATATAGGAGATGATCTGAATTGGTTCATAAAACCTTGCTGGTTTGCAAATCATTACGATATTTTAACTGCATTGCCTGGTTCTGAGTTAGTATCTGTAGGCATCTTGCATTATATTATACCTTGGGATTGCATCTGAGACTTGTGGCTACACAATACTGTTCTGAAAACTTGGTATTTAAGGTTGAAGGAACAGAGCAACTTCGATGAAAAATCTCTGGTGTGAAATTCTGGTCATGGTAGCTTCTATAGCTTCTCCTTTGTTTAAATAATTCTGATGATTTTGTCTTTCCCCTGGACTTCACTGGAAGAGGCTTTTTTTTGACTCTTTACTTTCAGCTTATCTTCTTACATTCTTCATGTTTATGGCCATTGATTTTCTTGAGATATTCTTGCAATGCTTAGGAAATTATTCTCTAGTTGATCATGCACTATATATTTGGCACCAAAAGCCAGAGACTTTAAAAGGAGCATGGCTTTCTAAAATGTGTCTACATCTATACATTTTATTCAGTATATGTAGATATCCGTGGTTGGTAAATATTTGGTGTAGTGGTAGTTAAAGAAGGTCTCCCTGAAAAGGAAGACTCTGAAAAGGGTGATGATTTTGAACGTCAGGTAATTAAATGATAGTCAAATAATTTCACAAACATTAAATAACCTTAATGAATAAATAGGATTTCCAGTGTTCAGCAGTTAATGACTACAACAATTTGTTTCCAGCAGTTGAAAGGCATTTAAAATATTGCAATATTTTACTGTGTTAATGCTTAGATTATATTTCTTAGGATAATAATAGGACTTTTAGCTTGTATTTCTATTACTTATATGTGTATAAGATGATTTCCCACAGACATTTAGTACTAGCCACTGTGGGACAGCTGACTTTACCTAATTACCATTCTCAAGATCCAGTAACTCATTTTCCCCCACCTCCATGCTATATATACTTTTCATGTGATAGGTTATAAAAACTCTTATTCTGAGGACTCAGTAATCCATTTTTTAGTAGAGTTGGTTCAAAATGTTCTGCAGTCACAGATAGTATTGCCTGGGCGTTTTACATAAAGCAAAGCCGAGTTTATATAATAGAAATGGAATATATAATGTATGGCAAATAGTATTTGTGATCTTTCTGCTCCCATATTTCCATTACCTGAAACTGAACAAATTATCTTGCTTGCTTTGGGATTTTTTTTTTTTTCCCCGTTTGTGATCACTAATTCACATTTTTGCTGTGCCCCACAATAGCTGGTCATAAATGAATGGATATACGTCTAGTGAGTCCAGCAATTATTAGAACTACTTTAAAAGCATTTTTTAGTATTGATGACATGACTGAGACTAGATGACAAAATATCTAATGAAATACTGTACCTTAAGAAAAATGTAAAGTTAGTGTCATATAACATTTATTTGATGATAAATAACCTAATGTAAATGCATTAAATAATTGCCATCACCTACATGAAGATAAAGAGCTTTTCCTGAACTAGGAGGCTTTTCCATATAAAATGTTACTATTTTACCAGTTTTCCCCAGTTTTGGCCAAATAAATTTTATAATGGCCATAAATGGAAAGTGTGATATGTCTACTTAAGCATTACAGTATTAACAGAGGGCATCTTCTAGTGATTCTATGTAATTGAAATCAATGACATTGTTACCAGAAAAATTGTTTTATAGCACTGTCACTTGAAAGAAATGTTGTTTCTTTCCATTCCCCCGCATAATCTAAAAGTCAAAATGTGTGGAATCAGATGCATGTGGATTGTCAGCATGTGTGTAGCTGGAATTTTATAACCATAGTGCTACCTTTTGCCATAAATATCTGAAATGGAGATCTGCATTTGTTATCCTAGCAGACTGGGACAAGAGGCTGTCACCTGGTACGGCAATGTTTGAGCAGAAACATCAGTTCATTCTATTCTGATAACAGCACTACCACATCACAAGGATTTGGCAGAAGAGTGTCCATGGCATGTTGTTGGTATGAAAGACAGGTTGAATAGCATCAAGAACATTTAAAAAATATTATAACAGTTTCAGCGTTTTTTATTCTGAGTTGGAAGGTATTTCCTCTCATGCACGTGTAGAGGGAGTAAAATGAAGATAAATCTTTTAAACATGAAAATTACTAAGGAGTCTGGGCCAAGATGAATTAACTGCCACGTAGCTACTTCATATCATATTTGCTAAGTTGATTTGGGATCCAAAACAAATTCCTTGAATTTTTTACCAGAGGTGCAGTGGATGTTTGTATTTCATCTGACACACTGATATTCCACACTTAATGAAAGTAACATTTCTAGCACATCAGTAAACTAAATCAATATGTATTCACACGAGGAATGAAATGACTTTCATGTCTGCTAAGTACTGACTATCCTGTACAGGTTTGGACATGTCCTTATTCTTGTCACTCCTCTTTTGTGGAGAAGCATTTGTCATTTTGCTTTTTGTAGCTAATAGTAATTTAACAGATCTTAGCTGGCAGCATTTGTAGATGTTTTTATTTCTCTGGATCTCCTACTGTAACTTTTTTCTCCTCAGCCTCATCAGAATGATCATGATGCCAAATTTGGCCTCAGAGCAAGTTATCTTTTTTGTTAGAAACCCAACAATTGCTTCAGTGTATTTGTAAGGATGCTCCTTATATAGACTATCTTCCTCTCTTTCCTGGCTTTCCTTCTTTAGCCTTTGCTTTAACT